TCGAAAATTGCTGATGTTGTACAGGTATTACGCGGCGCCCACGATGCACCACGCCATCCTGTCCGCGCAACCTTCCGATATCGTCCCCTCGAAAGACACGCGGATTCGCATGATCTGCAATGCTGCGGGCGGGCTTCTCCCCGCGCTCGCTATACAGCTCAAGGAAACGTTCAACGGCGCTGTCGTTCTTCCATCATACGGAATGACGGGTACGCCAGTTTATTTATTTTTGTTTTGTAACGTCCTCTAATCCCCGCGTGCAGAATGCATGCCCATCGCGTCCCCGCCAACGACGTACCAGCTCGATCGTCCAGGGTGCTCCGGCATCGCATGTGGACCTTACATGTCCATACGTGATCCTTTCAACCTCGAGCGCGAACTTCCGCGAGGTGCATATGGAGCGGTGTGCGTACGCGGCCTTCCAACGTTCGATGGTTACGAGAAGAACAGGGACGCTCCCCTTGACACTTCGGCGTTCTCTAGCGAGGGTTGGTTCGATGGAGGCGATATGGGCACCATGGACGAGGATGGCTACCTCTTCATCTCGGGTCGCTCGAAGGAGATCATCAACAAGGGCGGCGAGGTTATCTCTCCGTTCGAAATCGAAGAGGCCGTCACCAACGTCGCCAAACACCGCGTCAAGAACACCCTCGCGTTCTCTGTCGAGCACGACGTGCTTCAGGAGACCATCGGTCTTGTGATCGTTCCCGTCCCCGATCATCCTCGTATCGGCCTCGCGGAGCTCCTGGATTTGCTCCGCGATACGCTCCATCCGTCCAAGTGGCCCTTCGCCATCGTCTACATGGAAGACCTTCCGAAGAACAACGCGGGCAAGCCGTTGCGTATCAAGCTCGCACCGCGCCTGGGCATCGGGCGCCTGCACGATGGTGTACCTGCCCTGCATCGCCATTTCTCCGCGTCGGTTCCCGACAAGAACTCTGCTCTCACCGAGCCTATTCCATGCCAGCGAGTGACCGTCGACCTCCAGCTGATCGAACGGGCCGTCAACGAGATCATCGGCGTCGACGAAGTCGCCGTCCGCATCCAATCCGACCATTTGCTCGAGGCTTTCGTGTCCGTCGACCCGGAGTCGGATTTGACTGCCTCCAGCATCAAAATGGTGCTACTCGCTAGTTTGCCCGGATACTGCATCCCCGAGCCCCTCTACGTTTTCAAGAAGCCGCTCGCGAAGGCCGGTGGCGCGGTGGACTTCGTCTCCATGGAGCAAGAGATCAACTCCCAGAACGCGTCCGCCATGTCTCCCAACGCGCTCCTGATCCGTGATATAGTGGCGGACTTGCTTAGCAAGGACGCGGCTACCATCGCGGGTGATTCCGACTTCTTCCTCATCGGAGGCAACTCGCTGCTGCTGGGTCGGTTGGCGTATCAGATTCGCAAGGACACGGGTAACAGCCTCAAGGTGTCCGATCTATTTACCAACAGCACCATCAACGGCATCGCCTCGCTCCTCGTGATCGATGAACCGACGTCCAACACCCTCGAGGAGGACACGGAGAAGTACCCTGAAAGCATATCCGAATACGACGTACCTGACCTGGAATACGGAGGCGCGGAATACAAGGATCGTCATCGCGGCCAAAATCATCCCATATCTCTTATCGTCCAGGCCATCCCCTCGCTGTTCTTCTATCCGCTGAAGGCCGCCTGGGCGTGGACGATGATCCTCTACGTCCTGTCGCTGGTTGTCGAAGTCATCTCCAACAATTACTGGGAGAGGGTTGGTTCACTGCTTGCCGCCATCGTCGCTGCGCGTTTATCCTCGCGTATCGTGTCGCCCATCGCCGCCATCCTCTTCAAGTGGATCGTGATCGGAAAGTACCGAGTGCGTAGCTTCATCCTTGTGCGTTTTCGTGGAATTAACCCTCTTCGTTTTCGCAGCCCGGTCGTTATCGCATGTGGAGCGCGTATCACCTCAGGTGGTGGATCGTCAATCAATTCCTCCGGTCTGCAGGTCGCGGCGTCTTCGCGATGCATCCGTCTTTGGAGTTGCTCTACTTCCGGCTGCTCGGCGCCAAGATCGGCAGGAACGTTAAGATCCACAACAGCGCGAAGCTCAGCGAGTTCGATCTCATCCATATCGGTGACGACGCTTGCATCGACCGCGCGCTGATACGCGGATTTTGTGTGGAACGCGATGGCTATATGCGTTTGGACTTCGTGACGATCGGACGGCGGGCCGTCATCAACACATATACCCAGATTTCGCCTGGCGCGGACATAGCGGACGACGCCGTCTACGGCCCTCACTCATCGTCCCACGAACCCCCGCTCTCCGCCTCTCATGCGGTCTCGAACCGCAATCTTCACCCCCAGCCCCACACGCTCCTCAAGATCCTTGTCGGATGGCCGCTAATCTTTGTGGTGACATTCCTGTCCTACGTTCCTTGGTTCGCGATCCTGTGCGTCATGATCTTGACGACGGACCTCGCGGTCCACGGCTTGCATCCTGTGGAGAGCGTCATCGAATGGTTCGCGACTCCAAGGCGGATCCTTTGGCACGTGGTGGCCCGTGTGGTTAGGGTCGTCTTAGCTCCAATCATCCAGATGATTTTAGGCATCGCACTCAAGCGGATCATGGGCATGACGACTGAGCATTCGGTCGAACACACTACGCAGTGGATCTTGCTGCGCAGGTACATCAACTCGTCGTTGCTCTCTCAGTATACGCTCAAGCACGCATTCGACGTCTTTGGCACCCACTACGAAGCGACTTCCATGGTTTTCCGGGCCATGGGCGCGAAGGTCGGGAAGCGCGTCTACTGGCCAGGCAGCGGCGTCTACTGCCCAGACCCCGAACTGCTCGAGATCGGTGACGACGTCGTTTTCGGCTCGCGCTCCGAGTTGTTCACCACGGACGCCGAAGGCACGGGCAAGATCACCGTCGGGGCCGGAGCCATGATCGCGGATCGTGTGGTCCTGCTTTCGTACACCTCTGTCGGGCGCAAAACGGTCATGGGTTCGGGCAGCCTTGGTGCACGCGGAGGTGTCTACCCTGATGGATCGACGTGGATGGGCAGCGAGAATGGCGAGGCTGTTTGTTTTGCCAAGGGGAAGGTGGAGGAGGATGAAGATACGATCACACCGTTCGGCCGGGCGTTCTACAAGCGCCAGGCCGAGTTCTTCGTCTTCCCGTATTGGCTCTTGGTCATCATCAACATCCTCGTCTCCTCTTTGTCCGCCGCGTTTTGGTCGGTGCCGGCCATCGCTGCGGCGCAGATCATGATCCTCTTCCGCCGACACGCTCCCAACCTCCACCTTTTTTACCCTCACACGTACAACATCGCCATTCTTTTCGGCCTCATTTCCATGATCTTCGTCGTCATCCTATTCATCCAAACCGTGGTTGCTATGGCTTGGGTCATTGCCACCAAGTGGATCGTTATCGGCCGGCGTCGCGTGGGCCCTTGCGAATGGGACAAGAGTTCGTACTGTCAGCGTTGGCAGCTTCACCTGACGCTCAGCCGCGTGCTCAGCCGCGGCCACGGAAATGGCGGCGTGCTCGCTTCCTTGGCCGGTTCCGCCTACATCGTCTGGTACTACCGGGCGCTCGGAGCTGTCATCGGCAAGAACTGCTCGATTTGGGCCGGTGGCAAGGTCGGCCTCATGACCGAACCCGACTTGATGGAGCTTGGCGACAACGTCGCTCTCGACGATTGCTCGGTCGTCGCCCATATCAACTCCCGAGGCAAGTTCGCTCTCAATGCGTTGAAGATTGGCAATGGGTGAGTTCTCTTCTTGATGCTTTGGCTGCACGTCGTCTTATATCCATCGATAGATGTGCCCTTCGCGCTGGTAGTCGTCTACTCTCGGGCGCTAGCATGTGCGATTATTCCATGCTCATGGAGCACAGTCTCCTCACTTCGGGCGAGATCGCCGAAGAGAACACCGTCTACGTCGGGTGGCCGGCGAGCCCCATGGGTAGCACCGGTATCCGCTTGCCCAAGGGCCTCGTCTCCGACCACTCCCCACCAAAATCCGGGAATATGCGCCTCGTATGCCCCATCTGCTCCCGCTTCCCAAAGAACATCGTAACCACCCGCTGTGGACATTGTTTCTGCTGCTCGTATGTCTCTTCTCCGTCTTTCGCATACTCCGATATTCAACGTCCTTCACAGATGCATCACCAAATCATTAAACCACAGTCGGCGGTGCCCGGTCTGCATGGCTTCGGCCACTGCCTCCCAACTCATCAAAATACACCCCTTCTTCATCAACCCCCGCGCTACCGCAAGGAGCTCGCGGACGGCCGTCGACTCGCGCCCTCATTCACCGAAATCGAGAGACCGCAAATCCGGTTGAGATCGTTTTAGACATTTTCTTTGAGCTGGAGGGGATGATCATTGTGTGTAATCCGGTAATCGCCCGTCATGGCTTCGCTGTTTCTTTGTTTTGCTAGCTCGAGCGCAAAAGCCGAGTTGGGCCCCGTAGACTTCAGAGAAGTGTAGATTAGTATATAAATTAGACTTAAATCTGTATAATGGCCGTCATATTCATATCCTCAATTGCTCAATTTATTCAGATCAGAAGCGAAGTGATCAGGCGCGCGAGTGGGGCGCATATCATCAAGTCGATACAGTCGGTCTTGTTGCCATCGGCTTCTGCGTACATTCTATCGACCGTTTTCGGTGCTCGGATATGATGGATACCATAGCCCCTCGTTCCAATCACAGGCGTACTCATATTATGCGAGCGTACGCACACATACTGTACAAACACTTTGCTGAGAACTATTCCGCGTCCATTCGTTATTCCTCTGCTACGCCTGGGTGCCTACTCGAACTCGGGCGTGTCGTACGTGCCCTCCGGATCTGCACCAAAACGGCAGGGGGGCGACCGGACATTCCAATCAGCGTCGGAAAACGCATCCACAAGACGGGTAAACAAACACACTTACCTTGGCTCGTTTTCAAGATATAGTCCCTGTCCTTCTGCGCCAGGTGCAGCACGTAGCTCACCCCCTCGTGCGCGTCCACGGCCACCTTCGGGTTCACCCTCGCCCCGCCCCGGATCGCCGCCGCCGCGACATGGTATCTCGACGTGTGGTTACACAGCATCATCTGTCCCATCCCCGTTTCAGCCACCTGCTCTCCACTCTCCATCCACACACCGCAACGGAAGGCGCACTCACGTCGAACGGACTCGTCGTCGTCCCTTCCTCCCGGTACCCCTCCACGCTCACCCTCTCCAGCCTGCTCCTCCCGAACAGCAAGCCCTTCAGCTCGACCGGGTACCCGTGATAGTTGAAATGTACGTTCCTATCCGGCGTGAACATGGCGTCAAAGTCGGCGTCGGTCATCGCGTGCGGGTGCGAGCCCTGCGGACCGAGGATCATCAGGTCCGTCACGTTGCACACCCGGACGCGCAGCGCGGGCGCGACCGTGCGGAGCAGCGCCGCGGCAGCGACGACCTCGAACGTCATCTCGACGCCGATCCCGACGAGCACGCTGGTTTCGAAAAAGGATCAGCGGGAGAAATGGAAATAAAAGACGGAGTCCGAACTCACACGTCTGGATCGACGCCCTCGTCCGTGCTCGCAAACTTCCACACGGACGCGCCGGCGATGCAATGCTACGATCGATCACCGTCAGCAACCATACTCCCAAGCAAGGAAAAGGGAAGGTGGTTACCTTATCCGCTTCCTCCGGGCTGAGCCACACCGGCGTCGGCTGCTTGCTGCCCACCATCAGGTTCACGTAGTTCTTCGCCCTCAGACAATGCGACATCGTGCTCAAAAAGCAGTTCGCGTCTGATGATGAACGGAAGTCGTGAGCGTGGCGTGATCAGGTTTGGAAACGAAGGGAGGACGACGTTACCGGGAGGGAGGTAGACCCGCATCCACTGCGGCTTGAGGTTGAGCACGGCGCCGATGAAGGACGGGTTCTGGTGCGAGAACCCGTTGTGCTCCTGCCTGGCCCAGGTGCTGGTCTCGAGGTAGTTGAGCGAACCGATGTCCCCGTGCCACTTGGTCTCGCGCGCCTGAAGTGACACAGCAACGTCAGCGTCCGAAGAAAGGACGGGGAGGTAAGGTTTGAAGCGCGCACCATCTTGTTGAACTTGGCGTACTGCACCATCTGTTGAACGCGCCCTCGGCCGGTCAGCTTCCCGTCCTTATCGAAAACGATCGGGGAACATACCATGGTATGCACGATCCCCAGAAAGCTCTCATAACTCGGGAACAAGCCCGTCCTACCCGTGAGCGTATATCCCTGCAACATGCCCTGACACACGTGCTCGCTCAATATTTCGATCACTCTCCCGCCTTGGGCCCGGCTCTTCTCGTCCCACTGCATATTCCGGCCCGTCACCTCGAACACCGCATCGAGCTTGTTCGACTCGAGCTCGTCCGGCGAAAAGATCCTGAACGATGCCGGGTTGGTTTCGATCACGGCGCGCAGGAGCCGCCCCACCGCCTGCATGCAGCTCGCCTGTTCCCCCTTCTCCTTCGCAATGGCGAACTCGCGCCAGTCGGGGACGTCGAGCGGTCGGTAGGCCTTGTACGCCTCCGCGCGCTGGCCGAGCCTCTTCTCCTTCTCTTGTGGGATTATGCTCAGGATCTCGTCGACGGGCGCGCCGCCCGCCGTGAACAGCTCCTCCGTCTTGTACGACCGCAGCCACGCCTGCAGGGCCTCGAGCTGCTTTCGATCCTTGTTGGCGGCCGGAAGCGGGACCTGGTGCGCGTGGAACGAGCCCTCGATGATCTTCCCGTCGAACTCCTTCGGCCCGCCCCATCCCTGCGAACCTCATCAGACATCTTGACCCTTGTTTTTTTATACTACGATTCACAAGAGATCACAGAGCGGAATTCACCTTGGGCGTGCGCATGATGAGCACCGGCCAGCGCGGCTTGACGATCGGCCTCCCCTCTCTCGCCGCCTTCTGTATCTTCCCGATCTCACCCACCGCCCACTCCAAGCTCGCCGCCAGATCGCGATCGATCTCGCCCAGGTCCTCCACGAACCGGACCCGATATCCGTACCCGGCGAAGAGCGCAACGAGCTCGCGGTCGTCCATCGTCCCGTACACCGTCCGCTCGCTGATCTTGAACCCGTTCACGTGCACGATCGGGAGCACCGCGCCCGACTCTTTCGGGTCGAGGTACTTGGCGGCGTGCCAGGCCGCGGCGGTCGGCCCGGTCTCGGCCTCGCCGTCGCCGACGACGCAGACGGCGAGCAGGTCGGGCTTGTCCATGACGGCGCCGAAGGCGACGGAGAGGGCGTACCCGAGCTCGCCGCCTTCGTGGATCGCGCCGGGGGTTTCGGCGTTGACGTGCGAGGGGAAGCCGCCCGGGCAGGAGAAGCGGGAGACGAGGGAGTGCAGGCCGGACGTGGTTCGTGGGTA